TGTGTGTGTGTGTGTGTGTGTGTGTGTGTGTGTGTGTGTGTGTGTGTAAAGCTTCGAGAATGCTTCAGAGGAACACAAGCACTTTCTGTTGCTCAGGGCTAAGTGGTTGAGGCTGACATTGCAGGGACAGGGCCTTAGATGCCCTGTTAAAGAGCCACACTGAGCCTCCAGGCCGCAAAAACAGAAAGATTAAGCTGTGAGTAGCTCATCAGATCAAAAGATTAGTGGGATTTCCTGATAGCTGTGTGGACAAAGGGTTAGAGCCAGGAAGAGGGGAGCTGGAGGCTCTAGGTGGGCACCGGTGGTGATGGTCCCAGGGAACAGCCATGAGGCCCAATCTCAGTGTGCTGACAGGAGTGTGGATAATAGGGTTTCAGGAAACACAGGAGGGAGAATCGATTGATTGGATGTAGGCACAATACTGTACTGAAGAACAACCCCAGGGTTTCCCGGTCCTGGGGATGCAGTGATGGGCGGAACTCGGGGTTTTGATGAGTGATAGCTCTGAGCTATTGAGCACAGGAGAGATAAATAGGTTGGTGGTAAAACTCTGTTCACTAAGTGACCAAACGGTCTGTGCATTATCAGGTTTATGGATACTCCGACCTAGAGGAGCAGGATGTGATGTGACCAACTGAATATAGCAAAGCTGTAGAGTGATAAGCCACCAAGCTAGTAAGCCCAGTAGCTATGGGGAGCCAGAGTCAAAGCTTAGTCAGACTTATTGTATAAATTAGTTGATGTAGTGTTAGATATTAGTGCCCCGCTGAAGTCCTTCATGTTAAAGTGAAGTTATCCCTTGTTTGTTGTTAGGAATGAACTCAAATCTTTGCACACTAGAACCAGCTATCAATTCTCTAGGTAATATAGTAAATACTGTCTCAACCATCTAACTGCTCTGTGACTGAGCACAGACCTTTGCTGGATTGTCTCTGTAAGCAGCTTAACTGTGAGGGCTGAGTGAGCACTCAGTACCCTCCAGGAACACATTTTAACGTTGCCACTGGAGAATTACAAAATGCGGAAAAGTCTCTCTGGGCCATGGTGAGGAGGGCCTTGAACTTTGCTGCTAAGATAGCCAGACTTCCTTCACAGGCGTGGTGGTAAACTTGACAGTGCACAGAATCATCTGGAGGACAAATCTATGGGTATGTCTGTGAGCAACTGTCTAGATTGGGGTAACTGGGGTGGAAAGAGGTATCCTGACTGTGGGTACCACAACTCCATGAACTGGGGTCTTAGACTAGAAAGGGGACAGCGAGTGAACACCAGAATTGATGTCATTCTGCTTCCCATCGGTAGATACCATGTGACCAGCTGCCTTCCCTGTCCCACATGTAGGACTCAATTCCCTCCAACAGTGTACCAAAATAAACCCTGTCTCCCTTCAGTTGCTTTTGCCACCGCAGGCTCCTGAAAGTTTGGCCAGAAGGATTTGAAAGACTGGACGTGCATTTGTAAACAGTTGGCTAAGGTGTTAGTGCACGGTGGTTGTACTGAGGATGCGCAGAGGATGGAAAGCTAAACTAGGAGGTTGCTATAGCAACAGACCATTGTCCGCAGGAAGTGAACTGCCTCAAAAAACTAGTAGGTAGGTCTTTAATATGCTGACAAAGGGGTTAAGGAGGCAATTTATCAGAGAGGAGGCAACAGATAAAGACATATAGTCTGATAAGCATCGATCAAGATGTGAAAGAAAATGAATTCATGCTACAGTATATAACTCATAGTTTTGAAATATGAGAGCGTTATTGTACTATGGAGTGAGAGTATACACACTGCCGATGCAGTGCAGGCCCACCCTTGAGTGGGAGTCCACAC